GGCACCATACAGAGGTGCTTGAACTGCCCAAGCCATGAGCTAAATAACCCCCTTGTTTTTAAAAATAGAGAAGTTATTTGTTTATAGAAGCAACAACAAAACTGCAAGATGAATACATTAATCACCCAACAAAATTAATAAACTTGGTTCCTGATAGTTGACCAGGGCTTTTTAGTAAGTTGTGGGCTTAGGTGTGGAAAGACACAGACATATACTGATGACCTAAAGTTAACCAAGCTACAAGCAAATTGTGGCTCTCACTATCCTATGCCTGTCATTAAGAGTTTCAAAATGCTATGTCTTTGTTAGGATTACTATTGCTATGGTGAAACACCATGACCAAAAGCAAGTTGGCTTGTATTTACTTGGCTTACATTTTTACATAATAGTCTATCACTGAAGGAAATCCAGACAGGAACTAAAGCAGGAATGGAACCTCTTGGAGGCAGGAGGTAATGTAGAGGCCATAGAGGAAAACTGCTTACAGGCTTGCTCCCAATGGTTTGTTCAGCCTGCTGTAGTGGGTAGCCATTCCAGCTTTGATCTGGAAGTTCCAACCCCCATTGAGACTTCGGCAACTGTCACGCCTACAAGGCGGGGCCAAGGGAGGCGCCGGGGGACCTGAGATCTGGATCAGCGGGCGCTCTCTCTGTTGCGGGACCCTGGACTGGAGAGGTGGACCGAGCAGAGCTCCAGAGAACACCGCTGGACTGTGATACACCTTCCCCAGACTCCGCGACCTTCCTATTCCTTAATTTGTAAGTTACGGCATTAAATAAATCTCCTTTTAACTACGTGGAGTGGCCTTAATAATTTCACCAATAGCCTGCTTTATTATAGAACCCAGAGCCACCAACCTAGGGATGACACTACCCATAATGGGCTGGGCCCTCCCCCATCAATCTCTAATTAAGAAAGTGACCTATAGGCTTGCCTATAGCCTGAATTTATGGAGGCACTTTCTTAGTTGAGGCTCCCCCTCTCAAATGAATTTGTTTCGAGTTGATGTTTAACTATCCAGCACACAAACTGATACAGAGTCATTGCAAGAAATATCCAATCAAAATTAGGAGCTTTCACAAAGTCTGTTTTAGGAAATGGGGTAAAGGAGGTTATGTGCAGGAACAGTTCAGCAGGAGTGACTGGGTGACAGAAAGTTAGGAAGAGTGCATACAGGACATCCAGAGACAGCCTCATAGTTATGATAGGAGTTTGGGAAATTTTGTCTTAATTCCAAGTCAAAATTCAGTTAATGATTTTTTTTAAAATAAAACTCAAGCCACTCATACATCATTTCCAAATCAAACACTTTAGCACAATTCAACTCAAAGATACACTAGTCAGAAACTTACATGATGTAGAACGATGGTAAGAAAACAATTACAAATCTTTGTTTTCTCTAAACTACTGGGTTTCCAAAAGAGCAGAAAAGTTTGTATGTATAATAAAGCACTGCACTTCTGAGCTGAGTTGCTTTAGACAGCATTCATTGGCACTGCTTGATGTGACAGTATGTATGCCTAGTGCAAAGTGCATGTGATGCATGTTCAGAGACAAGGCTGCAGTGAAGTCATATGATGCAACACAGGCAAGCACTGCCCCAAACAACTCAGATTCGATGCTTGATTTTGAGCTAATTTCTGGTTGTCAAACACTCAGAAACCTATTACTGCTCTCAAAATTTCTGTGACTCTTACATTGTATGAAACCATGTGGAATCAGGACCCATAGTTTTAAGAAGCTGGACACTAGAGAACCCCATGTCCTTGTAAGAAGCGTCTGCCACCACATGCACTGTCCCGGAGCACATCTTCTCAGGTTCTATTGGAATGCTACCTGAATCACACCACTTACTTGTGAAAGAGTATCCCCAGCATTCTTTGTCATGGACCTATAAAGCCTACCCAGCTAATACATATAGCTTGGAGACATGACTGCATACTTGCCCAGAAAGTAAACCATAATTTGAAAAAGTAAGCAATTATGAACAAAACACCAAACACAACTTAGAACTCTCTGAAGACTTAACTGTTCAACTACATTAGTAAAAAAAAAATACATTTTTGGAATGAGGGGGAAATCTCAACATGTTTCAGTGTAGAAAAGAAGGGTGAGGAACAAATGAAATAGTGTTGTGAGATGAGCTATCTCAGAAACCTAGAACAACACACTTAGGTCTTTCTGCAATGTCAGAATTTAGTGAACAACACTTGATTCACAAGTCATACCGGCTTCTCTGCAGTTTACCATGTAATTCTAACTACTTGGCAGAATGGCCTTCAGAAATCAGATTCTTTTATTCCCCTTTATATTTGTTACTTTTCTTCTTGTGACAAAATGCCTGGGGAAAAAAAGCAACTTACGGGTTTATGTTTCATGGTCAGATTGGCTCTCACTGTGAGTGGCAGCAGTGTGAAGAAGCAGAGAGAGAGAGAGATGAATGAATGATAGCACTCCATTCATGTTTTCTTTCCCATTCAGCCTGGGAGTCCAGCCCACAGAATGGTGCCACCCATTCTGGGTGGATCTTCCCACCACAGTTAAACCTCTAAGGAAAATCAGTCATGCCCAGGGGGTTATCTTCCAGATGGTTTTATTTATTTATTTATTTATTTATTTATTTAATTTATATTTAGCTTTCTTCATTTTATTTGTCCTGGGTCATCAGCCTGACCTCCTCTCTTTCTATTAACTCCTGAGCTTAAAATATATATATTTTAATTTTTTTCTCTCATATATTACATCCTGACCTCAGTTTCCCCTCCCTTCTCTCCTCCCAGTCCCATCCCCCACTTCCCCTGTCCTCCAGATCCACTCCTCCTTTTTCTTCAGGAAAGGGCAGGCCTACCAGCAACATCAACCAAACATGGCATATCAAGTCATAACAAAACTAGGCAGATCGCCTCATATCAAGGCTGCATGAGGCAACTCAGAAGAAGGAAAAGGTCCCTAAAGCAGGCAAGAGTCAGAGACAGCCCCTGCTTCTACTGTTAGTAGTACCATAGGAACCCCAAGCTACACAACTATTACATATAATGCAGAGGACCTAGCTCAGACCCATCCAGGCTCCCTGATTGTCGCTTCAGTCTCTGTGAGCCCCTATGGGCCCTGGTTAGTTGATTCTGTGGGCTGTTTTCTTGGGGTGTCTTGACCCCTCTGGCTCCTACAATCCTTCTGCAGGATTTCCGGAGCTCCTCCTAATGATTTGCTGTGAGTCTCTGCATCGGCTCCCGTCAGTTGCTGAATGTCGATTCTCTGATGATGGTTATGCTAGACGCTGGTCTGTTTTCATAAGATGATTAGTTCAGGTTCCATATCCCCTATTACTAGGAGTCTTCACTAGGGTCACCCTTTCAGATGGTTTTAAGTCTCAACTTGACAATCAAAATGAAAGGCCACATGATCTTAATTCACTAACATTAACTCTCAGAGCATACATTACATATTATACTCATATGAATGATATATGAATACCTTTTCTCTCTCTCAGTGGCAAAGGAAGGGTTAAAGGCTGCAGAGTTCAGAAAAACTGTCTTAAGTGGCAGATCATTGGTAGGGGATCACATAAGTCACACGCAGCACAGACATTTCTAGTGTCACTATGAAATGGCTTTGGTATCACAATCAGGAGAAACTGTCTTGGAGCTTTTGGAGCTGGGGACAGAGGCAGAACTCCTTTGCTATGGTAATTTCCTAGAGGACGTTCCTTAAGCATTGCCTGCCACATTTTGGTCTTGGGGTGTTCCTTTTATAGTCCCGGGTGCAAGGTTTGATTGGTAAGTGCATGTGCCTGTGTTTCTGGTTTGATATTTTCCTAAGTGTCATTATTTATTGACATTAAATAAATGATCAGTTTGTGCCTCCCGGTGTGCTGGCAGATGGTGGGTGGTTACCTGTATAAACAAGATTTAGAATAACTCAGTTCAAGGCTCGCTCTTGATTTGTCAAATGGAGCTGTTCCAGGTTAGGCAGAACCTGAAAGTGGCTATTCTATACAACAAAGTGACTCAGAGCAGGCCTGGCTCTTTCTCAAGATGGAATGAAAGATAATCAGCAATGTAAAGGGGGATTATGTGGAGAACACTGAACACGGAGAGGTATTAGCCGGGGTGCAGTGGCGGACAGCCCCACAGGTGTTGATGAGGGTCCTGGGCTGGTCTAGGCCGGCAAGGGAAGTGGCTTTCTTGATCTACCCTCGCAAACGAAGGCTGAACCTTCCATGGCTGAATGGGTTTGGGTCTGGAATGGCGTAGGCATGGTTTCCATGTGTGTGGATCCTGCCAGAACCTGAATTGTGGGCTGCATCCACCTTCACTCCTGCAGCCAGGCTTCCAAGAAACCGGACACAGTAGAACCATTAGGTTAGAGCGCTTAGGTGAGGAGGGCCAGTCACAAGCCCAGTTTGTAAGTTGTGAGGTGGCCGTGAATGTGTGTGTGTGTGTGTGTGTGTGTGTGTGTGTGTGTGTGTGAGAGAGAGAGAGAGAGAGAGAGAGAGAGACAGAGACAGAGAAAGAGAGAGAGAGAAAGGAGATACACAGAAACAGGAAAGAGAGAGGGGAGAAACAGAGACAGAGACACACACAGAGACAAAGAGAAGAGACAGAGGAGAGGCAGAGAGACAGACAGACACACAGGGAAGAGAGACACACACAGAGACAGAAGAGACAGAGAAAGAGACAGAGAGACACAAAGAGATAGACACACAGAGAAACAGAAAAGAGAGACACAGAGGCAGAGAGGAAAAAGACAAGAGGGAAGAGACAGAAGAGACAGAAAGGGAGAGAGAGAAAAGAGAGAGAGAGAGAGAGAGCGCGAAGAGAGCGGTAAGAGAAAGCCTTTGGCATTTAAAGTAATCAAGTTTGGTGACACATGACGGGGGCGGAGCTTAAGAACGCCATAAGACCTCGCTTTTCAAACCATCGTCATCAGACACCGCCGGCAGGGGGCGGGACCTACGGTGGCCACGCCCCCGGAGCGCTCCTCCGCGGCTCTGTGACGCCATCAGTGGGCGACACGCGGTGGGCGGGGCGCCGCGCTAGGGTGCTTCGGCCCTGGCTGGAACTGAGTGGACCCGGCTGGGAGGAGACGCGGAGTTGAGTATAGCTGGCAGGGCTGGCCGGAGCATGGCGGACCAGATCCCTCTGTACCCGGTGCGCAGCGCGGCGGCTGCCGCAGCCAGCCAGAGACGCGCGGCCTACTACAGCGCCGCTGGGCCCGGGCCGGGTGCCGACCGGCGCGGCAGGTAACGGCGGGCCCGATCCTCCCCGGCGCCGCGGGTCGTCCCTGCCGCCCGCGGTCCGCTAGGCCGCGGACTCCAGAGCCCTCCGAGGGCCACCGGCTGAGCCGCGCCCAGGGACTCAGGGACGCCGCTCCGCCTCTCGCGTCGCTTCGGGAGCCCCAAAACTTAAGTGTGTGGGCGAGCCGGCCGAGGTGACAGGTGCAACTCATGATGAGTGTGAGAAACACGCCTTGCCGAGTGTCACTGAGTTTTCCAGACGCGAAGCGCTTATTAGGGCCCACTTTGTACTTAGCCAGGAGTGTGCGGCACAATACTTCTGTTGACAGATGTTTTGGGAGGGTAGAAATGGATATTTAGAGAGGTTAAACTGTTTAGTGGCGCCACTGTTTAGCAATGCAATTAAAATGTGCAGACTTTGCTTTAAGTGAAGTCTCATACTCACATATAATTTCATACCCCAAGAAAATAATACTATGATTTATAAAAGAAACTTTAAAATGGAGAGTTAATTACCTCGTAGTAACCAAATTTTAATTTTGTTGTAGAGGTATTGAAGAAACAACCCTTAATACATCGAAGAAAAAAAAATACAGATTTCGCCGAATATCTAGTTCCTTTCAAATCAGAGCTTTTGAATACTTTTTGAGTTGAACATTATTTATTTATTTGTTTAGCAACAAGGTCTCACTGTGTATCCTTGGCTGGCCTGGAACTTGCTCTGCAAAACAGGCTGGCCTCTTCAGTCATAGAATCCCACCTGCCTTTGCCTCCCCTAGCGCTGGGATTAAAGGCATGTGCCACCACGCCCTGCCTTACTTATTTTTATGGAAATTATTAGGTATACTGCAAGGGTCAGCAGGCTGGGCAGTAAGAGTTTTTGGAAGTCTGGTTTTTGGCCGTTTTGAGAGACGAACTGGGCAAGTGTTCGAATGATGTTAAAGAACTGAGTTGGATCTTGGTCTATGCACTTTCTGGTAGTTTGATTTGGGGTTGTTCCTTTCTCTAAGCCCTAATTTCCTCATCTTTAAAATGGTGTTTCATATCTTTTTTTCTCTCATGGGAACATTGGTAGAGGGTTCCAGAACCTCTGTAAGGGGCCTCTTTTTGGAGTGCTTGCCTGGAGGTGGATACTCCAAGCTCCCATTTCTCCCGTTCTCTTTGATGGAACCCAGAGGAGTCATTGCATTACTAGTTTTATAAGTGATTAATTTTAGGAGATTATTCGGAAATATGCTGCCTTTAAAATTATATTTTTGACATATTTTGAGTCGTTTTGCTCTACATATTCTGAAGCACTACTGTTTGATGCCTACATATTCAGGATTCAATGTTTAATGTTGCTTTTTTGCTTTTATTATGCCATATTCCTTTGTTTCTGATTATTTTCTTTGTTCAATTTATCTGGGTCATTTCCCCCACTCTTTCCTTCCCCCTTCCTTCCTTCCTTCCTTCCTTCCTTCCTTCCTTCCTTCCTTCCTTCCTTTTTTCCCCCCTTTTCTTTTGTTCTTGTTTGAGTCAGGGTCTGACATTGTAGAGCACCGCCTAGGACTTTTTATCCTCCTGTCTCCACATCCTGAGTGTTGAGATTACAGGCATACACCATCATCCCTGACTCAGTCTATTTTTAGCTGGTATATTAAGGCCATTTATATTCAAGCTAATTTTCCATACATTAGAACCTAAGTGTAGCATTTCATTTTCTGTTTCTTCTGATTTTCATTCTTACACCTCTTTTTTTTTTTTTTTTTTTTTGCCTTCTTTCAGATTATTTGAACAAAATATTTTTTGGAGGCAGTTTGTCTTTGTAGACCAGGCTAGCCCAGACTAGCTGTTAGCACTCATAGAACTGTTTTGACTCATGTATAGTGTGTTTCAGAGCATCTCCTTGTATAGCAGTTACTTAGAGTAGCTCTGGGCATTACAGTATATATACACATAACGCATTGCAGTATACTGTTGATGTTTTGCGTGTAAGATTTACCTCGTTATGTCCTTTGGTCCAGTTCCTTGTCAATGTACTTGTAATGTTATATGTAAGTTTTACATTTTGAAAGTATACAAATGTTTCCCTTGCACATATTGGAAGCCACATCTGACAGTGTTATAACTTTTGCTTTTTCTTTCAATTTAGAAACCTCAAGAAGAGAAAGTTTCTTGCATTGACTCATACTTTTTTTTTTCCCTTTCTTGACTGCTTATTTTTCTGGATATTCTAGAATTTCTTATTTCTGTTCCATTTAAACAATTTCATAGTGATTCTTTTGGAGTAGGTGTGTTGAAAAGTTCTTAGTTTTCCTTTGTCTGAGGCACATTCCTGAAGGCTAATTTCAGGAATATAATAACTACTCCCTTTACAGTTTTACATTCTGTGCTTTCAGGTATGTGCATTAGAGACAGCCATGGTTTGAAACATTCAATGAAAGTTTGCAGAAATAAGCAATTAGATGTGCTGTTCTGGATATTGTAGGAAGTCTTTTAGTCCCTCCTGTCTGGGATGTGAACTGTCCCTTCCGTGCCCTGCATCTATCACCTGATGATTAGCCACTTGAAAGTTATCTCTTTTGTTGTTGTATTGACCTTGACCGCCATGGTGTTGACAGTTATGGAACTTCAGTGTTTAAATAATTCCATTTTACCTACTAATGTTCCCAAGTACAAAAGAGGTGAACCTGTCAATCTTTTTAGACATATATTGTTAAATTGTATTATAGGTGTGTATGTAAAGGGAAAATCATAGCCGTGTATATTGTTTGGTATGCATGTTTTCAGACATCCACCAGGAGGCATTCCTGGAGGAAAAGGAAAAGAACTATATTGCAATTGAGAGTGACAATCCTTTCAGCATTTGAAAAAGTTAGGCCATGGTGAGCTTTTGTGGTTTTGATGAGAAATCTGTTGTCAGCTGAGTTCTCACTCTTTAGGTGGGATTTCTCTCACTACTTTAAAAAAGATCAGTCGTTTGATATTATGATTTTTTCATGGATTTCTTACGGTTCATTTTTTTTGTCCTTATGTGAATTTTTTGAGCCCCTTTCTCTGGCATTTCTTTATCTGTGGCATTGGTAATAATTCAGAAGCTTTTTCTTGAGTTTTTTTTTTCCCCCAAGTCCTGAGTGTGTCATTTGCTTGAGATCCATTTCCTGTTCAGGTTGAGCAGTTCCAGTTCTGTCTTCACGTTAGCCAATTCTCCCCTCTGTTCTGCTCGTGAGCTACCTTTTCAGCCTTAAAATTCCACTTGGTTTTTCTTCATGTTAATGCTCTTTGTGGAGATTATTTTTCCATTCATTACTCATGTGTTCACGATTGCCCACTGAAGCTTGTGTGTATGTGTAATGAATATGTTCTTGTGGGTGTGTGCATATGTGCATGCATGTGTACATATGTGTATGTGTACGTGTAGGCCAGCAATCTATCTGGGTGTCTTTCTGAATTGTTCTTCTCCACCTTGGGTTTTTTGTTTGTTTGTTTTTGTTTTTTTGAGACAGAGTCTGTTAGGTAGCTCTGGCTGTCCTGGAACTCTCTGTGTAGACTAAGCTGACCATGAGCTCACTGAGATCTGCTTGGCTCTGCCTCTGCCTCCCAAGTGCCTGGGATTAAAGTCTCCCCCGTATTTTCTGAGGCAGGGTCTCAAAAAATTGAATCTGGACTCAGCAGTTGGCTAGGTTGGCTGAAAAGTGAGCTCAAACGTTTTGCCTGTCTTCACTTCCTCATCCCTGGGGTTATAGACATGCTGTTTCTGGGTTTTTTTTTTTTTTTTTTTTGAGGATAGTAGGTACTAAACACAAGTCCTCATGATTGTATGGCAGACCGTTTACCAACTAATGCCATCTGCATAGCTTCCCATTTCTCTTAGTTTGTGTTTCTATTGCTGTGAAGAGACACCATGACCATAGTAACTCATTTTTTAAAATAATTTATTTTATGTGCACTGGTGTTTTGCCTATATGTATGTCTGTGTGAGGATGCTAGATCCTCTGGAACTGGAGTTACAGACTGTTGTAAGCTGCCATGTGGGTGCTGGGAATTGAACCCCAGGTCCTCTGGAAGAGCAGCCAATGCTCTTTACCACTGAGCCATCTCTCCAGCCCCACAGTAACTCTTATAAAGGAAACATCTAATTGAGTCCTGGCTTACAGTGTTAGAGGGTTAGTCCATTATCATAGTGTCGGGGAGCATGGAGGCGTGCAGGCAGACATGGTGCTGGCTGCATCTTGATCAGAAGGAAATGGTCTGTGGCATTGGTTGGTATCTTGAGCATAGGAGACCTCAAAGCCCGCTCCTACAGTGACACACTTCCTCCAACAAGGCCATACCGCTTAAAAGTGCCACTCCCTATGAGATTATGGAGGCCAGTTACATTCAAACTACCACACCATTTAAACATTTTTTTTAAATGATAGATTTTTAAAACTCATGTCAGAAAATTTTGTATCACTTCCTGTGATACCATTTTAGTAGCACATGGGGAAAGTGGAAGACACTGCCTTGAAGGGCTAGGTTCCCTATATAGCTACCTTTGACTCCTGAGAGGGCAAGGATGCTCTGTTTGCCTCCGTTTGAGATTCCTACTAGTCTTGTTGGCATGAGAGAGGAGTGTCTGGTTACTGAAGTCTGAAGGTCCCACAGACCTTACAGGTAAGGTCTTTACATCTGGAGAGTGGTTGGGGATTCTTCACATACCTTTTGTCCTCTTCTTCCCTCTTCTCACCCCCTCCACCGAGTGTGTGTGTGTGTGTGTGTGTGTGTGTGTGTGTGTGTGTGTGTGTGTAAGAGAGAGAGAGAGAGATTGAATCCAAGGATTTATATGCTAGCCAAGCACTTTGCCACCAGTGTATTCCTTCAGCTCTATTCTTTCATATAAAAATCACTTTTATTTCTGGGTGGTGGTGGTGCACACTTTTAATCCCAGCACTGCGGAGGCAGAGGCAGTGGAGCTCTATGAGTTTGAGGCCAGCCTGGTCTACAAAGCGAGTTCCAGGATAGCTAGAGCTCTTACACAGAAA